TGTACTGGATTTTACCAGGGGACAAACCTGGTGGGATAAACTTGTCCAGATGTTGGCATTTACATCAGAGCTAGACGTCTAGACTTACTTTAACAGTCAGCAGAGAGAAACAGGCATTCTGGGGCATGGGTAATCTCATTTTAAGGTAGATGTTGAAAAGCGCTCAGATGAACCAAGTCCTGGAAGTGCCTATCTCTTTCCATTGGCTATAAAGTTTGCCTAGAGCAAAAGTTCAAACATAAACATCAAAAGTTAAGGGAGATGAAAGTGTATGATCCTCAAAGTGCCTAATAGAAAGGCACTTCAATAGTCACTGGGATTTGGATCTTTGTAGTGCATGAAGTAATATCTATGTGTTTTCCATGATGTGATCAAATAGTAGTAGAAAAAAAGAAAGGGTATTTTCTATGAAGGAATTACAACCCTTTAGTCCTTCTTTGAGGTATCTACTCACTCACCTGAGGACAGCTAGGCTTAAGCCTCAGCCTTAAACCCAACAACTTCAGTTCAAGTATTTCTGCTGCCATCAGTGGAATCAGATTGCCCTGTCTCAGCAAGAGGAAGAATGACTTCACGGCAAACTTCATTCAAGGGAAGAGATGCTTGTCTGGTGTCACTAAGCAGATGCCAATAAGAGGCAGTCTTCCATAATGCCAGCTCATACTTCCCCAAAGTAATGTGAGGTAAAATACTTCATCATCTCTAAATTTATATCAAAAAGGTGTATCAACTCAATTGCCTTCATTACTCATTACACTCAGATCCTCTCCAAATCAAGTGAAAAGTAGACATTGCAACTACTACCCCTGCTGATCATGCAGCTAGAGACAGAACAGAAACCTTGGATAGCAGGCTTTCAATCAAGCTTGTAATCACAAAATACTCTCATATTTAGACACTACAGTAATTGCAATGCCAGTATTATGACAGGTGGTAGAATGAAACTCAAAAGCCTTTCCACCCTCCTCCCCAAATCAACCATTTCTTCATGTTCTTCACACTAGAAGACAACAGACAAGCATTGGTGCATATTCCTGGTTTATCCTTTCTTTATTAGCAGGGCTGACTGTCACTTTGTCCATAATCCTTTCCAAATTTAATTACATTTACACAATGTCAGCATCTCAAAGAGGTTATTAAAGACACCAATACCACTCCAAAACTGCAAAGCCTGGTTTGTTGTGGGGAGTCTTGTTCCCTAAAAGCAAATGTTCCAAAGATGCCTGAGCAAAGAGGGAGGTTTTTTGTGAGTTTCGTGCTCCAAACAACCTTACAAATAATGTGGAAGTGTCTGGGAGATTTTGCACCCTGAATGATCGTCTACTCTCTGCTCTTCAAGTATTCAACACTACTTTAATTTAGTTTGAGTTAAAGGCCTAGAGGAGTCCAAAAAGCCATTCACAGTACTAGTTCTTCTTCCTTTCAGACAGTCTACTGGTAAGGAGTAATTTCCTTAATAATGCACTCTCTCTTTACATTATGAACTAGGATTGCTTTTCTCAGTTTTGTTTTTCTTGTTCTCTAGGAACACTTATTGGCAGAAGTGTCTTTGTTTCTTAGAAGTTCATCAGCTCTTGCCATCTGTTTCTCCCATGATGTCACTGCTCTCACTTTTGCCTCATCGCTATTTCCACGGCAATCAATCAGAATTGGATGCCTCAAATGTCTGACCTCCATAAGGAATTAAAAACTAGAACAGAAAGGATATGAAGGGGAAAAAAAGGATAAAGGGGATCACAACCAGGGAAAAACAAGTGCTCAAAGCCTCTGGTTGCCTCTAAATGTGATTCTTCTTCTAAATTTCTGAATTACAGCATCAACTTTTAAGAATGTTTTAAACTTAACCTCCAAAGAAAACCTGTTTGAATTTATAGACTTTAAGAGGTAGATGTTTAATAATGCTTTAATAGAATTTTAAAAGGAGTGATTTCTTTTCTTTTTTGTACTTAGACTCCTTTAAGCTGAAAATCAAGAGATGGTGTGAGAACTACTGTCAGTTCTTACATCATAAGAAAAAGAGAATAGCATGTAGGGATTTAAATGAAAGGATTAATTTCTTTTTCTTAATATTGGCATCTAATAAACACAGGGAAAGGACGGTATCTTTGTTAACAATAACTCTGTAAATTTAGACATGGGACATCTGTTGGTTCTGAAACATACATCAAAATCAAGGAAAACACCAAGGCAACAACTTTGTTGTCTCTATCTTAGAAACATGCAAACCATTCCCTCTTCCCATTTTTCTTTCTTGTCCTGATCACACAATGTCAACAAACAAACAAGGCCATAAACCCAGTTGTATTTTGACTTGGCAAGGCACCTGTAGCGTTTGCTTGCTCTTACATAAAACAGAGCTTTTTAGCCAGTTTTATTGCTCTCTCCAGTATCAAGATGCCCACGACATTCCAGCCAGGATCTCTCTGCTGCTTCTGGGGTTGTAACCATGCCAGAAATACCACTGCAGGAAGGAAGGCTCCCTTTCCATACACCAGAAATAATATTTTCCACAGATCCCCAGCTTGCACAGGCTAGTGTGATCACAGGCTTATTCCTCAGCCCCCTGTAGTGTCTATCATGATGAAAGCTTTTGAAAACGCTTTGTACACTAAACTTCCTGGAACCAACGGGAGGGCTCAGTATGGCGTTTTGCAATCTGAGCATCCATCTAAGAGGCTGTGTTCCTCACAAAGTCCCAGTGCTGCGTATGCTGCATATCTGCGCTAGCAATTACTGCAAAGGGGTGCAGCTGAGCCTGATCTCAACACAGCTGAAGCTCAAGCACTGCCAAGAACAGAGTGTGTTTGGTGTTAAGTATGGTTTGTCTTCGTATGCAGGAGCTCTCCTTGTTCTCATTACCTCTCTTGAGTACCAGAGTCCTTGAAATAAGCAAGAGTGTGTTCTCCTTCCTTGCTTAGAGAGAAAACTACTCACCTCAGTTTGGAACCTCATTTAGCTAGAAATTACCCCCCTCTAGATATTTGTCTGCAGGATGTACCAGAAGGATCTGGTACATCCCAAAGAAGATATGTGTCCATCTGATGATCTCCAGGAGGAATGTTTCCCCCGTGCTTGTGGAGACATCTCTCACTGTATCCCCAGTCTCATCTTCAGATTGTTTCATTGGTCTTTGATTTTATCCTTTCACCTCCCCAGAAGGAGATTCCTCTTCTCTGCATCCCATACTTGGGGATGGAGATGAATGAGTGCAGAGCTTTTTAATGGATTATATATCTGTCTCCTTAGTGGTATACTTATCTTGGTGCATCAGAATGAAGAGGCTGTTCTGAACAGATGATTTCTTTTTTTTTAGTGGGGGAAGGAGAGGCTGTGGTGGAACAATTTTTGTGCTTGATGTTTGGCTAGTGTAAGCCAAGCAGAGGAAAAGGAGGACTTATGGTCACTGCAGTCACCATAACCCCTCCAGGTGGCCATTCCCAGGAGTCCAGTGTTACCCTTGTACAGTTTCAAGAAAGACACCCATCAGTGCTGCCTTCTTCTTCAAATATTGCATGAGCATAACTGATCATGTTCAGTAGTTATGGATGAACACACCACTTCTAAAGGCAGAATCCAAGAGGGCCTCAGTAATCTCTTCCATGTATTCATACTCAGACTTTCCTCCTCCATTTCCCTCTGTCCCTCGTCCTTGGTTTTAGCTGCCCTTTCCCTCATCAGTTACCCTCCATATCTCTCTCAATTTACCCACCCGACACCATTCACACTTACATTCCCCAGCCCTACCAGACTTAAAAGTTTAGGGTGCAGATTTCTCCTCATGCATGTGAACAGCAGTGGGTGGAGTGGCTGCTGAAATCTTACTGGATCTGTGATATGGGCAGTGGGGTCTGTATGCACTTAGAAACAAAATCTTGAGGGAAATTCTGGCGCCAAGCTAAAATGTCAGGATTTTGCTCAAAAGGCCAATAGATCTGTAGCTGAGAAAATGAATCACTGGCACCAAACAAGATAAGCAGGAGATGATGGAAGTTAGGCTGTTTGCCTAGAAGCTCTTCATACTAATCCCTGCCTCTGACTTTGTGACCCAGAGGGACTGTTAATTTGCCTCTAGACGATGAGGCAGCTTCAGGAGGAGAAGAAAGGAAGACCTTTAGTGTTTTGTTTCTTTGCTTCACCTAGCCTGGCAATAACTATTTTACTCACAACTGCACTGACCCAAATGCCTGTCTCATCAAAAGAAACCAGAGTTCAGTATCTATTCTGGGAAATACAGATGGGAGTGAAGTGAAGGAGGGGGGAGACCCGTTTCCATGGTTTCAAGTTCATTCTTTCTCAGTGTTACTTCCCTCCTGTTACGCATCTAATTTCTTCAGTTTCAAGGCTCAGGCCCAACTCTGTCTCCTGCATCATGGCAGGGTCTTTCACACCTTGGCAAGTTGTTCACTGAGGTACATGGCATGGAAGCAAGCAGTCTGCTCCTGTTCATGTCAGGGCAGGCTCTACCCTGTGTTGCACCCCAGCTTGCATTGAGTTTTCAGGTTGCTCACTCCCACTGTGGCTTTCTCCTTCTCTTCAAGCTGCCCCTCAAACAACTGAGATCTGGCTGCATGTTGTTTGCCTCAGCTGCCCTGAACCATGGGGGATGTAATACCTCTAGACAAGTCATAACCCTCCTTCGTCCTTCTTTCCCCAGGACAAGAGGCTTAATACAGATCCTACATTTCCCTCTCTTAGCCTCACCAGAATGATGACTCAGCAACCACATCTTTTCAAGGACAGCAGCCCATCCATCTAACTTCCTTAAAGCCTGCATCCAAATAGGTCCTGCTGGTGGCATGTGGGGTGTCCTTCTATAGCAGGGGCTGAGCTCAGCCCGCTCCAGTACTCTCCCTCCTTGCCAGCCTACAGCAAAACCTCTTGCCACTTTCCTCCCAGGCATTCCCTCATTCTTTCCCCCCAAACCTCTTTCCCAGCATATCCTCCCCCAAGACCAGAGGCAGACACTCCTCCTGGAGACTCTGTAAAGGAAAAGAGGCAGCTCAGAGACATCTTTTTTATTGCTTTGAGCTGGGGCTGAATTTTCCTGGGAACACCTCCAACCCGCTTTTTCTAGGAAGGAACAAATGTAGAGAAGCGTAGAGTTGGTCTCATGGCTATAAGTCCAAACACAAGAAAAGTGAAAAAGGGAGTAAAAAGTTAGCTATCATTGAAATATGAACAGGATTAAGTTTATCTTCTTCTTAGGAAATAGGGGAGAAACAGGAAGTGGCAGTGTAAGGGGCCTGCAGTTGAACAAGCTTTGTTTGCAGGATAAGTGGATTTTGTTCCTGGTGAGAAGAACTAAGCTGTGTTTACAAATAATGCTAACGGTCCAGCCCTGACTGTGCTCCAAAAATGCAGCATCCTTACTCCTGGATTGCCTCAACACTGCATCCCCAGAGGCAGGGAGAAGCAATAAATCAAGACTAGCAATCCAAAACATGACACAACTTTTGAGCAATATTTTCTTGTGCCTTGTGGTACGCAGAGGGCTGCTGTCCCCACATCCCACTGGCAATTGCTCTGGTAACAAAAATATTATTGTCTGCGCTGTGATGGACAATAAAGACCCCTCAGGCTCATTGTTTTAGAGTCGGGATTTAGACCAAGTATCCTTACCACGCCTCTGCTTCTAAATGCTATGATTCAGTGACTTGGCTGTGGGGTGGTGAGTCACTCCCTCCCATCTGCTGCTTGGGTCAGCCCTGCAGGTGGGACAGAGGTGATGTGAGGGCCTCAGGCTGGCCTGCAAGACAAGGACCAGTTACACCCTGCCGAACACAGTACTTTAGAGCCCTTTGGATGAGAGTAGTTGTGAGGTGACCAGTGTGTCTCCTCCGCACTCTTGCCCAACCCGTGGCTCTGCTCCTGTGGACTCCATCCCACATCCACGAGTTCCCAGGTCCTGTGTCTTCTGAACCCTAGAGGGTACTAGAGAGCAACATTCAGCTTCCTGAGAAGCCAGATACTCGCCTGTGGTCCCAGAGGTGTCTTTTGTGAAACTAAGAAGCAGCCCTGAGTACCTTGGAGGAGCCTTGGAGGCACCAGGGCCTACACATCCCTCTCATTCACCATTGCTATCTGAAGCAACCCAATCAGGGACCAGTTAGTGTAGGGAACATGCAAAGCCTAGCAATGGATGTACTTCCCTCTGGAGTTTCAAGATAGGCATCTCTGGGCCGTAGGTGATGATAAAAGGATGCTAATGCATGCATCTGTCGGCATCACCCTGACTTTAATAAACAGGGATCCCTTCGTTACCAACTCCTCTGCTTTATAAGATATGTTGCTCAGACATTGTAGTGATGGGGACCATATAAGACAATACACAAGTAAACCAGGCAACCTGTACCACATTATTGCAGCCATCTGAGCAGTGACTCCACATATCCCAGCAAGCAGTGTGAGCGCATACTCTGCCCTGCCTGGAATCGTAATGCAGAATGGGATCATCTCGAACCCATCCCATCTAGGCACTCACCCAAATTTTAAATGTTCTGCGAGTTCAGACACAAGAGAAACATTTCTGCCCTTTCTGCTTTGCCCTGTGATGAGAGCAGAAGAGCAATAGAGACTGGGTGGGAAGTAAGTCAAGAGGACCCCACCAAATGATGTCCTTGAGAATAATGACCGGTCTTGGGGACTTGTTTCTCCCTTCTGGACCACGCAGAGTCCTGATGTCAGTAAAGCTCTTTGGCTTCTGGGGAAAGAAACATCTCTGATTCCTGACAAGCCAGGGTGACAGATGTTAGCAGTGCTGCGGAGTGTGTTGGCCATTGGCCAGCTTCTTGAGGTTGGCATGTTAATTACACCTGAACACAGAGAAGATTTGAATCAGACCTAATCGCTCACAGTTATAACGTTCTACTCAGGAAGCAAAAGCATGCAGAATTTCACAAAGCATGGGTTAAAACAAAACTATGCTTTCAGAGCAGCAGGAAAAAGAACCTAAACAAAATTCTACAGAACTAAAGAGAGAAAATAATGTGCCTTACTTATTTCTTAGCTCATTTTAATTTGGAGGAACTGACACACATATTGTATTGCACAGCTGAGCCTGTTCTGGAATCTCTTTCTGGAAATCACTTCTTAAAGGTAAGATTTTCCTGTTCACAATTTCCCTCCTAGCTTTGCAGAGCCACATTTCAGTGGTCCCTGAAGTTGTTCCCAGGGCTCAAAGAGAGATAAAAGTGCAGTATTAGCAAGCAAACAGGGGTCTCATCTGATAGCACTGCATTCCTTCATCCCTTATGGATCTGAGCTTCTCATTTCCACAAGCTGTCGGTCTTAATCTCCCCTTCTTGGCCTCTGCTGCTCAAGCCTTTCCTGGCTGTTCTCCCTGCACAGCTATGGGCTCTTCTATATTCCATGCTAACAACAAATTTGATCCTGACATCACTTGCACCAACAGCCTGTTTAAAAGAAAGAAAGAAAAAAAGAAAGAAAGCACAGATTGGGGTAGGATGATGAGTTGTTTGTGGAGTAGCTTATTAAAAAGCTTTTAGAAAGAGCTTGGAACAAAATTTTCACCAAGAAGGAAGGATGGGTTTCCCAGATGAAGCCAGGAGATGTCTCCTTTCTGTTACTTTAATGATTCAGGAGTTCCAAGTGGTTTAATTTGTTACTGGTTTTGCGTTCAGATAAACTAGAGAAATCGAATGTCCCCAAATATGGTCACAAACTATTTCAAAGAATGCCAGACAAACCAAGACCTCCTATGGTCCTGCATGTCTGTCAGCCCACAGGCATTGAAAACCATGCACAGTGGGGTGCTTTGCAAAACCTCACTTCTATCTTAGAACATAACAAAGAGTTCAGCTTGAAGGTGGAAATGGATCTGTCCCTGAACAGCTCTAAACAGTTCAGCAAAGTGGTCTTGATGTTCCCTGTGCCTTTTGCATAACTATTGTAGTCACCTGATATTTCCTGAGAATTTGAAAGAAAAATGAGAGACATTATTTTGCAGAAGCAATTTTTGGAAAAGTCGCTGTGGTTTTCTTGTCATCTTCCAAGCAAGAAAATAAATGACTTAAGTTTTTTAAATTTAAGTACCTGTAAAAAGCCAGATCGCAATATGCCTTGCCATCTTCAGGTGCTTCATTCTCCTATCATTATAAAACAACAAATTCTACCAAAAATATATGAATCTCCTGGCAATCATTGACTATGCTATTTACCTACAAAAAGTATAAGACTGCCATGATCAGTTCTCTGATATTTAACAGACCTCATTCTATGAGCAACCATTGAAGATTTAGTGTTTCTCACATACATTGCCCAAAGTTCCTGTTTGTGGTTACCTAGATGAATTCTTTCTGCATTCACACAGCTCAAGGGAGGCCTTGCCAGGAAGTGGTCTAAAGCTCAGTGAGCTCCCATAGCCCTGCTTGATACAGCCATCCCCACCCATGTCACAGAATCACAGAATCATCAAAGCTGGAAGACACTCTCAAGATCATCTGGTCCAACCATCAACCCAGCACCACCACAATCACCCCTGAACCATGTCCCCAAGTGGCACATCTCAGTGCCTCTTGAACACTTCCATAGATAGTGACTCAACCACCTTACTGGGCAACTTATTCCAACGCCTGACTGCTCTTTCAGTGATAATTTTTTTCTGATATTTAACCATTTCCTCTCATCCTTTCACTTGAGACATGACAGAAGAGAACAACCCTCACCTCACTACACCTGCCTTTCAGGTAGTTGTAGAGAGTGATAAGGTCTTCCCTGACCCTCCTTTTCTCCAGACTAAACACCTCCAGCTCCCTCAGCTGCTCCTCACAGGACACGTTTTCTAGACTTTTTACCAGCTTCATTGCCCTTCTTTGGACATGCTAAGGTGCAGGACACCTGCAGGTCAGCACACGCATGGCCACACTGTCACTGAAACCACACCGCCAGCCTGAGGAAAGCCAGGTGGATACCAGACAAGACTGGTTGTAAGTGCAGGCTTAGGCCCAGACACAAATTTAGTGGACATATCCCTTATGAAACCATGGAAGAGGCGGCAGCTACCTTGACAGCAGCAATCAAAGCTCAGGTTTCCAGCAAGCTTTTAAAACTGTCAGTCCTCCTGCACTAGCCCTGAGATTAAGGCACATTTAGAAGATATTTATTGCACTTTAGGTTCTATTTTCACTCCATTAAAAAAAAAAAAAAGTTTTGGCCATGAACACAGTCAGTTATTTGGCTTTTGCTATGCATACACAGGGAAACTTCCTAGTAACATCTTGCACTGTCATCAAATACCATGAATTTGTTCCTTTCCACTGAACTAGGCTCGGGCTTGAATTCTCAATTCATAGACTTTGAACTTGATTCAGGGTAACATTGTTTCAGCTGAGGTTCACAGACCCTGAAGGCCAGAGAGGGCCAGCCAGAACATCTTATCTGACCTCATGCTGCCCCCAGGCCACAAACTTCATCAGTTCAAGAGCTACACTTGGGTTCAGCAAACCTCTGCTAGGAGTACCAGGAAGATCCTCAAGATTTTGGAGGTTTTTTGGTAAAAAAAAGGTAAGATATTTATTAGGTATTCATTGGGTTTCTTTCCTAATGCAGCTTTGATAGAAGAAACCACACAAAGAGACAAGTATGGTAAAATTTCCATCACTCCAGTCCTTATACCCCATTTGGTGAGGACAGGCCAGACCATTTCCAGTTGTTCTCCTGTCTCAATACTTGGGCTTGGGACAAGGCTTCTCAAGCCAGTGATTCGGTTATTTCTGGAGCACTGTCACTGGAGCACTTCCCTACCTCTTGCCCCCACTCTGTCTCTCACCCCCAGTGTTTCCTTCTCTACCGGTGAACCCACAAGCAAAAATGACACCCGAAAAAACATTTCTGAAGGTCAGTTTTCCACCTCTAAAAAAAAAGAGACTGAAATTTCGGTGTAATTGCAATGAAGAAGTTGTGTTGTAAAAACTGAGCTCATTCATAGAGAAACAAAGGAGGAAGCTGTATGCAAGGACCAATTCACAGAGCACATCTCCATCAGCTCTGGCCCTTCCAGCCCTCCATGGACCTTTGCTTTGGTACCCAGTTACACAGGCTGTTCTCAGGAAACCTATATAGGAGAACAGAGAGAAAGGTGAGATGACCTCTGCTTATACGAAGGCATGAAGCAGAAACTGAGGATTTATGACATACTTTTTCTCTTGCTTTCACCACCTTCAGAGATTCACAAAAACTGTCTAGGTAGTACGAATGCTCATGGTCAAATTCCTGTGGGAAATGTTCTTGCTGAGTCAAGCTGGCGGAAAAACAGAAATTTTGCTCAGTGGGAAATTCCAGGACCTCTGTTTTCTCCTTAAATTAATCAGAAAAGTCAGAAATCAAAACTTTCTACAGAATGATGTTTCCAAGTATTTTTCTTAAATATTTGGAAGAAAAGATAGGGCAGCCTCAGTTTTACAAGCCACAGCTTTGTGAAATAACAGCCAAGTATAAAACTTTTTTGACATTTCTGTGCTGCAATTCCAAAAGCCACATCACACTGCAGTAAACAAGTGCAGCCACAGAGACAGTGTTCCTAGCAGCATCAGACTGCCCTGCAGAAAATGCAGTGTCTGTGTAGGCAGTGTCTGCGATCTTCCTCTAGCAAACACACCAGGCTGAGAGGATATTCTCTTCCTTGCAGGGCCATTTGTTGGGCTCTCCTCTTGTATCTGTGCAAGGTGAAAGTATGTTTACATTGT